CAAAGGGTTTCATGTCACTCATCAATTCATCATTCCATGACCACTAATTTGTGCAATCATCAGGTGGTTTCACGATGTAATGTTCTAATTTTTTAAAATAATTTTTAATCTGTTTTTAACGTGTTCTTGTCATGTTTTGTATAAATTTTGACTATTGTGCAACCTATTCAGCTCTCACCATGTTACTGGACGTTTCCCTCATCCTATGCGTAAACAACAATTAGCAACATTCTCACATACTACTGTAAGTTGAGTCAATTTAAATTCATTTTACACCTTTGTTGCTACTGTTATCATTGTAATTGCAGCTCCTGATGATGATGGCAAAGTCCATTGAAAGCTAGAGAGAATTAAAAAAAGTATAAAGAGTCCTCTTTGCTTAAATCTTGTCGAAGTACCCAACAAAAAGCGGAAGCTTTAATTTTTCACCTAACTGGTCTAGACGACAATGACCACGTCTCAAGTTACATCCACAGATTTGGGGTTTTTCAATAACATCACAGAACGTCATGGGAACCAGGCAGTAAGAATGATGAAGGACTGGATCAAGGGCAGAAAACGACTGGCACAGGAGATCAATCGACGGATTTTCTTATTAAAATGTAGAAAACATGGCATTACACCACATCACATCACCCACCGTTTAACATCAATCACACACTTACTAGAAAGCCATTCAATAGAAGATGGGATGAAAAATCGTCTGCACAGGTTAGGTGACAAAATACTCACGCTTGAGATATCTTCCTGCCACAGACAGTTGAAAAAACTTCATTCCATACTCAATTCACTCCAAAGTGACATAATTTCTTCCACTTCTCCCTTAATTTTTGATAATTTCAAATATAGACAACTCAGACATTACAATAAAATCTTTCATAACATAAAAAACTCCAACACTCGTAAGTTTGACAGATTGTTGAATGACACCAAAAAAAAAACCTTCCTCAACACTCAACAAAATTGGATAAAAAATCTCAGTAACGTTGACATCCCTCATGACATATTAAAATTTCTTTCCTTAGGGCCTAAGTTCAGTGTAGAGCCGATTGTTAACAATGACATTCCAATCAGATCAATCTTAGCGGATGTAGACACAATAGCATCCTCCATAAGTGATGACACTGAAAGAAACATTTTCACAACTCGTTCCACTAACCTCATCACTAACTACTATCATAATAACAATCTTAATAAAAAACATTCCTTTTATCACAACCTTTTAAACATAACTAGAACATTTCTAAAACAACATCCTGAACTTATGGTTACAAGATCTGACAAAGGCAATGTTACAGTGATAATGCTTAAACAACACTATTTAGATCTTTGCAACAATCTCATCAATGATGACCCATCATATCATGAAATTAATAAAGATCCCACACTTAAAGTGGAAAAGAAAAGTAATGACATTGTTAAGGAACTCCTCAGCACTGGACAAATAACCCAAGAACAAAAAAGAACTTTGACTACTTATAACTCTGTCCCTCCCAAATTTTATGCACTTCCGAAAATTCACAAACCTGTACTCTCAGTAAGACCTATAGTTGCATCAATAGGTTCAGCCACCCAGGCTTTGTCTTCATTAATATCGACAACACTAAAATCAGCACATGCAGACAATGATTACTACATCAAAGACTCATTTGAGGTCTCTCGTCAGTTCAATAGATTGACAATACCAGCCGATCATATTATCGCCAGTCTTGATGTGGTGTCGCTATTCAGCAACATCTATCTGGATGCATGTACAAGAACTATTAATAAACACTGGAATGAGATAAGTCAACACTGCAACATATCTCTAGAATCTTTCACCAACATTATAACATTCCTTTTTCATAACAATTATTTCTCTTTCAACAACAAAATATATTCTCAAACACATGGTTGTCCTATGGGATCTGTTCTGTCACCAATTTTGGCGGAATATGTCATGGATGATCTGCTTGATACAGTTATTCCGACACTACCCTATAACCTCTTCTTCATAAAAAAATATGTAGATGACATTATTTTATGCCTCCCTTCCATAGGTCTGGATGGTATTGTCAGAGAATTCAACAGCTATGACCCCTACATCCAATTTACCATTGAAAAAGAAGATGAGAACCTGTCTGTCCCCTTTCTAGACACAAGACTCATTCGCACCAACAACAACAGTTTATTGGTAGACTGGTACCAGAAACCTATGGCCTCAGGTCGGTTTCTCAATTTTAGGTCATACCATAAGCTAGGGATTAAAATCAATTTGGTAAAACAGATGAAAACAAGGGTAATCAGCATCTCAGATAATACCTTCCACACCTCAAATTTACGTAAACTATCAAAACTGTTCATCAATAATGGTTATCCGAAGTGTCTGATTAACAAGATCATTTTTAGTTCACCTTCCAATATTTTGCCGAACTCTGGTGATGCAGGTAATAGTCGCACAACCCCCAATAACGGAACTGATGTAATTCCCAATAATAACATCAATCCTAACAGTACTAGCACCAACCCGGACTCCAGACCTGGTTTTGCTGTCCTGCCCTACATCAAGGAACTGACCCCTAAGCTGATCAGATTGTGCAGTCCTTTGAACTTTCGAATTGCTTGCAGATCCGTCCTCACTATAAACTGCATTTTTTCAAAAATGAAAGACAAAGTCCCGCTGCTTGGCTTAACCAACACAGTCTACTCCATCAATTGCAACAACTGCAACCAAATATACATAGGTCAGACCTCCAGATCTCTTAAAGGAAGGATTACATCACACAAAAGTGATGCTAGGCTTCATCCTGAAAGATGCGCTCTAGCATCTCATGTTAACACAACAGGGCATTCTATGAATTACACAAGTATCAAAGTTCTTGATAAAGAAAAACACCTTTCCAAACGTTTATTCCTGGAAATGTCCCACATTTTCATGAATAACAACTGTATCAACAAAAAGACAGATGTTAAACAACTGAGTGTCATTTACTCATATTTGCTAAACTGCGAAAAATTGGAGAACTTACATATCTCCCCAAATTTCAACTCTTCACAACCATAATTAGAATCTGTGTTTTGGCCGTTTCCACCAGTAAATTTCATTCCACTCAAAATATAATAATTCTCTCCTCACGATTTATTAATAATTGTTAATTTAAATTCCCATTAATAATAATATAGTTTATTCAACTGCCTCTGGTCGGTTCAACAAATTCCATCATAAAATTCTGAAAATCTCTTCATCTGAAGTGATTTGGCAACGTTTTTGGCACACGCCCACAATTCGTTCCATCTTTCAATACTGACATTGACATCCTTCGGCCTTCTGTCAAAGGGTTTCATGTCACTCATCAATTCATCATTCCATGACCACTAATTTGTGCAATCATCAGGTGGTTTCACGATGTAATGTTCTAATTTTTTAAAATAATTTTTAATCTGTTTTTAACGTGTTCTTGTCATGTTTTGTATAAATTTTGACTATTGTGCAACCTATTCAGCTCTCACCATGTTACTGGACGTTTCCCTCATCCTATGCGTAAACAACAATTAGCAACATTCTCACATACTACTGTAAGTTGAGTCAATTTAAATTCATTTTACACCTTTGTTGCTACTGTTATCATTGTAATTGCAGCTCCTGATGATGATGGCAAAGTCCATTGAAAGCTAGAGAGAATTAAAAAAAGTATAAAGAGTCCTCTTTGCTTAAATCTTGTCGAAGTACCCAACAAAAAGCGGAAGCTATATATATATATATATATACATATCTACAGGGTTTGTCCAGAAAGTAATAGGACTGAGTCCATTTAAAAAAATTTATTGAGCCAATCGTTACAATTCTTCAAAAACTTTCAAAATAGGCTCCTTCTGCGTCGTTGCAGCGCTGCCAACGCGATTTCCAAGCATTGAAGGCGTCACGGAAGGCATTCTCCGGAATAGCCTTGAGAGCCGCGGTGCATGCTGCTTGGATCCCCTCTGTCATCTCATAATGCTTGCCTTTCATCGGCCTTTTCAGGCGAGGAAACAAAAAAGTCCGGGGGGGGGCACATCTCTGCTGTAGCGCGGCCACTCGAAAGATTGCCTCTTTGTCTCGGGATCATACTCAAAGATCCACGACTCGTCAACTGTGATTACGTTATTCAAAAATTGGGGGTCACTTTCACACATGTTCAAATTTTCTTGGCACACTTCCACTCGCCGCAATTACTGGTCGTCAGTGAGCACTTTTGGGACCATCGTCGCGCACACCTTGCGCATGTTCAAATGCTGTGTCACAATGCCATGAACCACAGATTTTGGTAAATTTAACATCTGGGCAATTGAACGAATACTTAGTCGATGGTCTGAGTTCAAAACTTTGCGCACACGAGTCACGTTATTGGTGTTTGTCGAAGTCGAAGGTCTTTCAGCACGGTCTTCATCAGCGACCTCTTCCCGGCCCTCCAAAAAGGCCTGGTGCCACCGAAACACACCACTTCTTGCTAAAGCAACACCTGGGTAAGCCTGCTTGATCATATCAAACGTCTCTGTCGCAGATTTACCGAGTTTCACACAGAATTTAATCGCGTACTTCTGCTCTAACGAACGCTGCATTTTCGGCTTGCACCACTCACAGAGACACGTCGCGCGAAAATGCCTGTCCTGACTCTCCAAGTGCTCGGAGACAACTGACCAGCCGCTCATTCGTTAGCTAGGAACGCCCTCTACCGAATCCAGTCGGTGCGCGCACGCTCCGAAGTACAGTCATGGCGGAATAAAATGAGTCCTATTACTTTCCGGACAAACCCTGTATATGTTGCTGCAGCTATATGCTCATACTTAATTGGTTACAGCGTGATCTGTGAGATACTAACCTTTTCAAAGTAGATTCCTAATTAACGCGGAGAGGACAAACATAAATTCTCATAGATGTCGCTAAGGTAACTCATATCATCTTGGACGATTTTTCGGACGCGCGAATATGGTATTAGGGTGGCTATCTTCAGATATACGCTAATCAATGGTTTTCAACTTACCCTCTGTTCGCGTGTCAGAGATATCCCCATCATGTTGAGGAGCAGGTTGGACGGCGGTACTTGCAGGTTGTAACTGCGGTATTGTTCGAGGCTGTTGCACGGGCCTTCGAACTCTTCTGGTTTGAACGTCGATGTCCAGTTGCATTTCTACGTCCAGGACCATGAAGCCGATTGTTATCAGAAGTGGGAGTCGGTATCTGCAGTCCCAGGCGAGTTTCAGGAGGAACATCAATGGACGCATATCTTACTGAAAATCGATATAATAAAATGATAATTTATTAAGGAAATGGAACACCCTGTATATTTTTAATGAAATAAAAAATTCCAAATATCATACTTGATTTAATTAGTTTCTTCAAAAACTTAAAAATTTATGTGTCATTTATTGATGTGTACCCGAGCTCAAACCAGTTTGAATCTATCCGCCTAGGCAATCTGGTATATGACCGAATCCATGTGATTAAATGATACATAAACATCAAGTGTTTGATTAAAGTAATCATAAGCATAATAAACCAAATAAACGGTGTCCCATTCAACAAAAAAAAAAAGTTTAAAACAAGAGTTGTATGGTTTCGAGCGTGGAACATAATGGTGACCTTGACTACTACCTTCAAGGTCTTTCCAGGGTCAAATGAATATTTGCAAATAGAACCGCCTCTTTTTCACAATGGAATGTAAAAGAACACATTTTACGTCCGAACATCACCTCGGTCATGACCTTCAATGAAACTTCAAGGTCAAATCAAGACATCAAAAACAATTTGCTCTAGCAAAATAGTTTGGCTGCACAGTTCTTAAGTTTGTGGGGATGATCCAAAGGTGGCCTTAGCCATGACCTTCGAGGTCAAGTCAAAATTTCCACAAAGGAAACCTATCATTTTTATACTGGAAATGGAAAAAGCAGAAAATTTTACGTCTGAATGAGACCTTGACCTTCATAGTAAGATTGAAGCTTTACACGATCTTGACTTTGAGGTCAAGGTCACATGCGGTCGCATAACTTGTTGATTTCCCTTAGGAATTTCGACTTAACCTTGAAAGGCATAGTCAAGGTCACCTTTGAATGACAATTTCTCGATTTTCTCATTTCCAGTATAAACATAAGAGGGGTCCTTTGGAAATTTTGACGTGACCTTCGAAGTCATGTTCAAGGTGACCTTTCAGTGACCGGGACACACCATATGCACGTTTGTAAAGGTATAAATAAATAAAACAATCAACTGACTAGTTATCTTTATCATCCCACGATAGCCGTTTTTTGAAAGTTATTTCTTCAAATAGTCTTATCTATGTGGACATTGCCTCCAAGAAAAAGATTTAGGGTGTGATTTTTCAGGATCTAAGTGGTCAATTTGTCCGTCTGAGAACGAGAAAAATGCTGCTCGCCCTTTTTGTCGCAAGAGAGTCATATGCTTCCACGGACTGCGCTATAAGTTTCGATCTGTTGAAGGCAAACATCCTGAAGATCATGGGTTCGAATTTTAGGCAACAGGTAGAGCGAAATCATTGCGCGATAACAAAGATCTATAAAGCAGGCTAGCTATAAATGCTTTGGAGGCAGTGGAATCGTTTACCATTCTCAATATTTCATTAAATTTAAAGAATAACTGGATTAAATGGAACTTAATATCAGTGCCCAAATTTTGAAAGAGAATAATCAAAAATTCGTGGCCAACCTATTTTGTCACTATCAGCATTTAATTTATACATTTTGTAATTTTCTACATTAACTTTATATTATAATATTGAAGGAGGTTCAACCACAACCATATTTGAACATGAAGGTAGTGTTTCATACAATTTGATTACAAAACCATTTTTACATATCACATTACAAGAACCATGTATGTCTTTTTTGGAACGTAAAAATCATCTCTGAGTGCCAGTTATTTTGTGTTCCATATATAAAAACCTCTTTCCGACTTAAAAGCTTTAAATGCTGTTTGTTTTTAGCTAACAAATTATCACTTTAATTAAATGTTATCATCATAGTCACATTCTTTACCATATTTACCATACAAATTGTAACTTGTAACCTTGAATAACCCGCATAATTAAGCTCCTGTAATACCAAGATAAATCTAGTTTCACAGATGCTTCATTTATACCAAATGAAAAAGAATTAACATCATTTCAAATTAATTAAAACACAATATGCTTTCATAATCATTTATTAATTTTTTATAGACAAATATATGCATAGTAGATAAATTTTTTTTCTAAGTAAATCTAATGATTCAAATCAATACCTAATTACTAAAAAGCAATGAACAAAAAAGCATGCGTTCAACAAAAATGTGATGGAATAACTGTTGTTATAAACCTAAAGAATGTCAGCTAAGATATAACAATTTTTTTAACTTATACATAGCATGACACAAACTCAGATTGGCCAAGAATTTTTAATAAAAATAATGCGCAGTAATAAAAATATTTTATTGAATATGGACTAACTGGTCCCACAAAGTTGAGATCTGAGCATCCAAAATGAATTTGGAAAAACTATAAAGAATATACAAGGTTTGCTTGGAACACAAATTAAATACTGTTGTTTTGGTCTCAACTTGAACTATTTTATGCCTATGTCTTACTTTTAATGTGAACTTGTTAATAAAAAACAAATTATTTAAGAAATGATTTTATAATACTGAAATCTGTAAGCATATATATTTTTCGATTTGAGTATCAAGTACAAATATATAACGTGTTACACCAAAAATAATTTGAGGGAATGTTTAAGCTCTATCAAAATAATCAATAGTATCCCCAGACTTAAAGTCACCTTTCTCCAATATCCCCAACATCTTATTGACCGTTTGAGAAGTGCTCAAAATGCCTGTCTCTTTAGTTTTCTTAAAGTTATTCCTTACTTCCTCAGATTGTGCTTCTTCAATAATAGTATTGAACATGTCTGTATCAACAGGCCCAGGAGAATAATTTAAAACAATAATGTTAGGCTCTTCAATAGCTAATGCTTTGAAAAACAATACACGAGCAGCTTTACCAGTACCATACATTGCTAGATTAGCAAAAGGCTGACGACCTGCTAAGGATGTTATGTTCACAACAATAAGCTGAGGAGCGATAGGCCTTAGAAGTTTTATAAAAACGCTGTTCAAAAGGGAGACAGAGAAAAGATTGAAATGAAAATAATCGCTCCATTTATGAACATCTATCAGATCAGCAACCTGCTTCACATCACCAATACTTCCAGCATTATGGAAAAACAAAGCAGAGTAAATATCATTTTTATCTATAACATTCAAGATCTGGTTGAAGTTGTTAGTATATTCACCAAGATTTGGCTTAGATAAGTCAATCGGAATGGTATGCACACTGATTGCTTTATCCACTTCTTGAATAAGATTTTTAGTTTCTTCTAAACCAGTTTTAGATCTAGCAAGTAAGACAAAAATAGAATTCTGCTGCAACCTTCTAGAAAGCTCGACAGCGATGGTACGCCCGATACCTCGAGAGGCACCTGTTACAAAAACTATACATTTTTTGGAAAAATCTATAGCAGTGGTAGACATGATAGATTCAAATTTCAAAATTACCTAAGGCTATTTTATTTATCTGCTGGCAAACGAACTCTCGTCTAATTTATCACCACAATCTTCGTATTTAAGTTGGTCGTACTTTATCAACTCCACGAGTTCACCTTGGGTGAGCGCCTGTTGTGGAGTTACCGTTCTCAGTATTTGAAGGTTCTCGATAGGTTCTTCAAGAGTCAGAATTTCGTCATCTAATTCAGTTGATGTCTTCAGAAGCTGTTGCATACAAGCTTCCTTCTTTGCAGCTAACTGTGATAAGATATTTGGATTTAGCTGCAACTTCCTCAGCTTTGCTTCTGAAACCAAAAATATTGAGTTCAAAATGTGGAAGAGGTTGTTTTGAAATGAAAAGTTACCGAGGTTAGCTAGGTATTCTTCAGAGTCCGGTAACTTGGTGAATGGTGGAACAAAATTATCTTCGAATTTTGTTATTATGGTTCCAGAAATAGTCAGGTCTGTTTGACACATCAACCATGGATCCATTTTGTTTTTGAAAAGTTCAAGGTTGTTGTGTTGTGTTGTGTTGCCAACAAGAAGAATATTCACATATAGTCGGATTTATTGAAAATAAAATAAATTTCTCATCACTAGCTTTTAGTCACGGCAAACCAGGCAACCATAATCACACGTGCTATCAAAATTGTGTTTTACTGGTTGCCTGATGTATTAAATATTGTTTGGATTGAAAAACGAATTTTTGAAAATTCTGAAAATCTAACTGAAGACTGGGCAAACTGGTAAGAACAACGATGATGTCGTTATTAATGTTTCTCAATTTACGCTACAATTTTAGTAGAAACTATTGAAAATTCACATTTTGAACGACTTTATTACTCCCGGACTTAAGTTCTTTGGCCCAAAACTTTTTTAGTTCATTTTATGAACAGCTAAATAACAGCTTGTTTTTGAAATCTATATTTTAGTTCATTTATTTTTTACTTTTTAGTATTTATGATATTAAATAACGAGTTTATTTATATATAGATATAACTTCCATAAATATGTTTCATTAATAGGACTCCACAAAACTTTTTACTTTATTTGTATTATACAATTTCAATAGTTATAAATCGTGTAATAAGATAAATCCAATAGATTTCGTTGTGACAGAGAAACACGAGGAGGTGGTGTAGCTATCTTCTTCAGGTCTAACTTACGTGTTGTTTAAACTTAGATGTACAAATAAGTGGTTAATCGGAATGTGTGTGGTTAAAACTGTATGTTAATAGAAGTATATTTGTTATAGGGGTGATGTATCGACCATCATCACAAAATATTAATGACTGTGTCAGCTTGTTATTAAATGTTATTTTGCCCGATGTTTCGAATAAATTTGACAATGTAGTTATTATATTGAATGACCTCAATGTTGACTTTTTAAATCAAAATAGCATTATGCTTTGTTGCTTCAATTCAACTGGCTTTGCACAAATGACTACCTTTCCTACCTGCGTAACGCAGCTGAGCTGGAAAAAAGAAGACTAGCGACGACTTCCTCTCTGACGAGAGACCTGAAGGTTATCACTGCTTGGGGACGCAACAATCTTGAACAGTTTAATGCTTCCAAAACACAGTAGGTACTGTACTTTGACGAACAAAAGACTTCCTAGCGCTCATCCGGTTTCGATGGATTTCGTCAATAGCGGCAGCTGCTGGTAAAAAGCTAGACTATTTGTTTAGGGCCAAGAAGTACTTTTCTTCGCATGACCTTCTCACCCCATACAAGGCCCAGATAAGGCCTAGCGTCGAGTATTGCTCACACGTTTGGGTGCTGCCGCCCTTACTACATTATTTATGTTCGACGCTGTCCAGAGGAGAGCGGTCCGACTGATCGATGACTCTTCTCTAACAGACAGTC